AGTCCCACCCACCCCTCCTGCCTCGACCCCTTCCGCAGCCCCAGCCTCCGCCCCGACCGAGTTCCGCTGCCAGGTGTGCGGCCAAGCCTTCACCCAGTCCTGGTTCCTCAAGGGTCACATGCGCAAGCACAAAGACTCCTTCGACCACAAGTGCCAGGTGTGCGGGCGTGGTTTCAAGGAACCCTGGTTCCTCAAAAACCACATGAAGGTTCATCTCAGCAAGCTGGGCCTTCAGAGTGAACAAAGGGGGCCTGGAACGGGTCGCTCCCCACAGAGCCTACTCGTGGGGTGCGAGGCCCTCTACCCTTCGCTCCTGTCCCCGCGGCCCACAGACAAAGCCAGCACGGGTAATTTCCTTGGCTATGGTGATGCCAGCTGTGCTGAGAGACTGCAGGCCACAGCCCGGGCAGTGGAGAGCGGCCAACAGTGGAGGGAGCGCCCTTACGCGGGGGAGCCCAAGCTCGCGAGAGAGAACTCCGGAGGCATCCATCGTTGTCCGGACTGCACGCGGAGCTTCAGCACATTCCAGCAGATGGCGCTGCACCGCCAAAGCCACCTGTCCCGAGACAGGGAGTGGAGCAAGGGACAGTCGCTGGGTTCTCACCTTCTCACTGGACACTGGCTGCCCACAAATGTCCGAGCCTCCAGTACGAGCAGCACCAGCCCCACTCTGCTGACCCAAGGGGAAAAGGGCAAGTATGAGCATTCAGGCTGAACCCATAGCGGGTGCTTCTGCTTTGTGAATGGGCACAGGGGATCCACATTGCTATAGTCTGCTTTTCTCACTGAGGTGCAAGGCAGAGAGTACACGGTATAAGTCAGTGCCGTGAACGGGACGAGACATCTGATAAGCAATGCAATAGGACTAAGATTACAAAATTTAAAGCAAAAGATATGTCATGTCAAACAATGGTATTACAACTGTAGTGAGAGCAGGATAACAGTACAGCAAACAGATCACAACATGCAATGATACCGCTCACAGTCCTGTTCCCTTTATAAAACGCCTTCCTGAATCCTTCTCTTATCATGTAGCCCTATTACCTTTATTAGAAATGGTCTTCTGAACAGTTCTGTTGGGGGCTGCAACAGAGGATGCAGGTGTACAGGCAGTTGTCTCCCAGAACAAGGGAGACAGTACCTGCTAGGCTAGCTAGGGTCTTAAACGCTGGAAGCCAGTTTTTGAGTCACACAGAACTCTTTTCCAACCTGCCCTCCCCCATCTACATTCTCTTGGTATGCTGATGCTTATCTAAACACTCCTCCCTCCCCAGGGGTTGTTTCGTAGAAAAAGGGCTAGGAAACACAGAACATTGTTACCGTCAGGGGTCGTTTCGTAGAAAAAGAGCTAGGGGAATTCATTAGCATAACTCATTAGCATATGCCACACCCCCTGACATCACCTGAAGTGTGTCATAAGGCCACACACCCTGTCCCCAACGGTCCCGGCCGCCAGCGGTGGACCTGCAAGGCCGGCGGGAGTGCAAGGAAGCCCCCGAAGGCCCCCCCTGGCCCCAGGCAGGCAGGGGTGGGGAGAGGCAGGGAGGAAGCAACTTACCCTCCCTCTTCTCCTGCCTCCTCCTGGCTGAATGAGGGCCGGAAGCGGGGCGGCCGGAAGCGGGGGGCGGGGCTTCGTCATGTGCCCCACCCCCGTACCTCACCCGGGGGAACTGTGATCCCCCGCATTCCCCCCCGAAATGACCTCTGCCCCTCCCAGTTTATAATCTTCTCTCTTTCCTAGTCCTGCACATATCCTTTAATAAGCGTTGTTGACAATAGCAACCAGGAATAAATCTGGAGCTAGGAATAAATATTTTAATCTCTGAGCCAAAAACACCCTTGAGAGCCATTCACTTGAATGCGTATCTTGTCAAAACACTTAATAAAATAACTGTTTTAATATCACGGCTTTGGCAGTAGCCTGTGTAGTGATACCTGGTTGCTACCACTGGGTACCTTCCAAGGAAGGAGCAGGTTAGGACCTATATGGGTGCCAGCCACAACCAGTAGGTGTTGGCAGCAGTGGTTGAGGAGTCTCTCTGTCAAGCCTCTCACAGGCTGTCGAGACTGATGATGTCACAGGTTCCTGCCAAGACAAGCCTCCCAAAACCTCTGAACAGGTACAACTTGGCGTTATCTGCACTGTGCAAATCAGGGCTTTCTTCTCCAGTGGGGGAATATTATCTCTCGTCAGTGCACAGTCAGACGTTTTCAACCGTTTAGGTAATACTGCTGAATATTCTGAAACATTTTGGTAAATATCCGCACCAGTGCAGTTTTGATTTTCCTGTCTGTCCTCCAGTTTACTAACCCAGAGGAAAGTTTCAGACTCCATTTACTGACATATACTGTGCTTAACCAGCAAGGGTGGGGGAAATTCCCTGCATGGTAGCCTGAAGGTGACTAACAGGCTGCAGGCAGCTAAGCTGCTGGCTGTATATACAGATGGTTGATCTAAGCCAGAGGAAGAGTTCTGTGGGACCCAGAAGCTTGCTCTTGATATTTTAAAAAGCAAAAAAACAAAACCCCGTTTGTAGTGGCAATTGTTTTCTCCATTGCTGTGTGGAGTTTTGGCATTTCAACCTTACTTCAGTGTAAAAGACGTTTGGGTAAATAAATGCTGGTGCCATAAGAGTAGGTAGAACTGCATGCGAGCATACACACATCCCCAATTCAGTGAGAAGAAATTCAGTGTGACAAATAGTTATATTATATTATGGAAATGAATGTTAAATTATGCAGGTTTGTAATTGTTTTTAAAGAGCATGTTTACTCTGCAAATATGTTTTATTTTGCTTTCTGGCTTCCCCCAGAAAATCTGAGGTATCGTAGTTTAATGAAAGCTGGTAAGCATTCCCCCAAAAAATTTTTAAAAAACAAACAAATTACAGTTCCTAGAGAGAATAACTGCTAAGCCAGTTTAAGTCTACTTTACAGACTAGTCCCTATTCTCAAATATGACAGAATATTTACCACTTTTTAAAAAACCCCAAGGCTGAGAACACAGGATACGTTTTGACACACTGAAAATTTCAGGAGGCAGTTTCACCCTGTGTCAGTTTTGCTTGGTGAGTGTGTTGTTGAAATGTACCCTTGGGTGGCAGGAGTTTGCTACAATGGGCAGAATCCTTTAAAACCAGGCTTTTTTGCCAGCTGTGTCTGCCAGAGGGTGCATTCAGGCAACATGTTTTCCATGCAGAAATTCATCGCCCTCATTATCCGCCCTGTGGGAATATATGTATGGAATGTGTTCCCCCCACAGCAAGTCTAAAGCAGTTGTCTGGGGCATCAAGACTAACAAAGTGGCCAAACTTCATACCCATGACACCTTCAGTTATGCTTCTGTTCCTGCAAGGGTTGTTTCTGTATACTGTGGCTCAGTTATTAAGACTGTAGGTTAAACTGATGCTTAGAGCTCCAGGAGAAAGGAAAGGAAACTTTGGGAACAATCCTAGGCAAGTCTACTCAGAAATAGGCCATTTTATTCCATGGGTCTTCCTTCCCGAGAAAGTGTTCTTTTAGGCTTGCAGCTGTTTTGACTTTGAATGCGACCATCAATCCTTACTTCCTCCACCTTCGGGAAGAAGAAAAAATCTACTTAAAGTTATATAGTATGGAGTTGAATCTCAGGAGATCCTATACAGAGTTATTCCAGCCTCTGAAGATCAGACTGGAGTATTTCTGCATAGCATTACAGTATAAGACTCTTTTTAAAAATCTGCTTAGCTAAACTGATACTCGGGAGGAAGATGATGGGAAGGCATAAAAGAATGGAGCTCTTAAGAGAAAGAAACTCTACATCTGACAGGTTCTGTGCCGGATTTTTGTAATGGTGTGAAACCAGGAGAGTTTCCTCACGGTTGCCCTCTCCACCCTTAGTTCTTCAATAGCGGAGGGGAAAAACAAGCCACCCCAATTCTTAAGGTTTCTTTAGTCATGTCCTCTCAAATCAGGTGTTACTGAAGTCACATGCACATGGTCTCTGTTTCAGACATTGTGGACTGTGGAGTAGTTCAGTGTCAGCTCTTCCAATCCAGATGGGTATTTCTAAACAAAGGTGACTAATTGATACCAGCCCAGCACATGCGGCCTTACAGCTGTCTTTCGGCTGAGAGTGGGGGAGATAGCCAGGGGCCAGCATACCTTCGAGACCGCTTCTCCCCATATGAGCCCCTTAGAGTACTAAGGTCAACTAATCACAGGGGTCGTTTCGTAGAAAAAGAGCTAGGGGAACTCATTAGCATAACTCATTAGCATATGCCACACCCCCTGACATCACCGGAAGTGTGTCATAAGGCCACACACCCCGCCCCCAACGGTCCCGGCTGGCGGTAGTGCAATGAAGCCCCGCGAAGGCCCTCCCTGGCCCCAGGCAGGCAGGGGTGGGGAGAGGCTCAGGAAGAAGAAGAAGAAGAGATTTGATTTATACCCCGCCCTTCACTACCCAAAGGTGTCTCAGAGCGGCTTACAAACTCCTTTCCCTTCCTCTCCCCACAACAGACACCTTGTGAGGTGGGTGGGGCTGAGAGAACTCTGACACAAACTGCCCTTTTTCAAGGACAGCTGTGCCAGAGCTTGTGACTGACCCAAGGTCACATCAGCAGGTGCAAGTGGAGGAGTGGGGAATCAAACCCGGATCTCCCAGATTAGAGTCCGCACACTTAACCACTACACCAAACTGACGGCTCCAGAGCAAACTAATTTGTGCAGCAGCCAGATCTCTGGCTCACAACTTGAATACCAGTAGCTCACCAAATAGAATTTTTGCTCACAAGACTCCACAGCTTAGAGGGAGCATTGTATACGGTTGTTTTAATTTGATTTTAAATAAGTTGTATTTTATATTGTTGTTACCCTCCCTGAGCCCGTTTGCGGGGAGGGCGGGATACAAATCCTAATAGATAAATAAAATAAAATTAAAATCTAGAATACCTGCTGCATTCCTTGGGTGGCGTGCTCCTGCCAAGGGACTTGGAAAAGAGAAAGCCCTGAGCAGAAAACATGGGAAACAGAGCAACCAGGCTCAAGTTATCTTAAACCCCCCTTCCCTGTATCTGTTTTTTCAGATGCGCAGGGGCAGCCACGCCTTGATGGATCCCGCCGGGGCTCTGGGAAAGATTGTCCATTCTGCGGGAAGTCCTTCCGATCGTCCCACCATCTCAAGGTGCACCTTCGTGTTCACACAGGTAAGACGTGTGAGCAGCAACCTCAGGGCAGGGATATCCATAAATGGGCAGTAAGGACAGGTGAAGCTCACCAAATGTTTTTCTGAACATACAGCATTACTAGTTAATGTAGTTTTCCACAGCCCCCCTCCCAATTTTCAGTCAAGCGGTGCTGAAATTAATGCTTTAAAGGAAGATAGACCTCAGGGGGCCCATTCAGGACTTGCCTACATAATTTCAGTGTCTGAAATGAAAATCCAACTATTACCACTGCAAGCTTGCCGGGAGACTTTGGTTTTTTTTGCAAGGGTAAAATAGAAGAGAGGAGAATGATGTCAGTCTCTTTGAGTCCCCAGTGGGGTGAAAGGCAGTATATGAACAAATATTTATATGGTGTTTCAACATGCAAAAAGCTTCACATGTACTGTTTATTTTATTAAGTTTTGAGCCCACCCTTCGTCCAGGGAGCTCAGGGCGATGCACTTTGTTCTCCTTTTCTCCATTTTATCTTCACAACAACCCTATGAGGTAGGTTACATTGAGAGACAGCAGCTGGCCCCAGTTCCCCCAGCAAGCTTTCATGGCAGAAGGGGAGATTCCAACCTGGGCTCCCCAGAACTTAGTTGGACACTCTAAGCTAGTGATCCCCAATCTGGTAACTATTAGCAACATGGTGCCTATCTGTGAGCCAACTTGCTTTTTCCCCATTTGGCTTTTCCCCACTTAACTGGAGCAGGAGGCGTCTTACACGAAGCACCCTGTGGGAAAGAGATGCCTCCATTGCAGGCAGACTGTAGGCTTGGATTCTCCCAACTTGTAGTTGCCTGACTGACGGCAGCCATTTTATGACTGGGCCCATCTCACATGGCAGCCATTTTGTAGTATTGCTTACTGACATTTCTCAGAATTCTAAAACTGCCTTGCAGGATCCACAAACCTGAGGACCCCCCAAGTCTAACCACTATACCACACTGGATGGCAATCTTGATATAACCCTTGCAACAACCCCATCCATAGGGTTGCCAACTCTAGCTTGAGAAACTTCCTGGAGATTTGAGCGCAGTGCCCGGGGAGGGGAGGGAACTCATTGGGGATGTGATGCTGTAGAAATCTGCCATTTCTTCTAGAGGAAACTGATCTCTGAAGTCTCGAGATCAGTTATAATGTTGGGAGAACTCCAAGTCCCAAATGAAAGTTGGCAACTGTACCTGTAGGTTAGTGTAGCTCTATGTTATGAGCTTGTATTGCAGAAGGCTGGGAGTAAGTGCCTTGCTTAGTTCATGCAGAGGTGAGATTGAAGAGCTCCTGGTTTACGGAGCCAGCATCATCCCCAGGCTCTTGACACCCTTCCTTCCTGAAATGTCCCTTCCCATGAATTAAGACAGGGCATTACTCATCACTGAGGTCTCCTGCAGAAGCCTTTCTCAAATGGACCCTTATACTCTGTTTGTTCAGCAGGGCTTACACAAGAGAACTTCCCAGTGGATTGTGCTCATGATGGATCAGATCTCTCTTCTGAGCTTTGCAGCGCCCCAAATCAGTTGCTTGAGGCAGCTGCTTCACGGCCCATTTCACCTCTGAGCTGGGCCCATTGGAGTGGTCTCAGCCAGTTCACCGTCGCCCCTCTTAAACTACTTTGCAGGATTGTTGTGAAGATACCATGTCTAGAAACTTCTCAGCCACATTGGGCCTTCCGTTGGCAATAAATAAATAAATAAATAAATAAATAAATATTAAAAAACTGTTAAAATCATGTCACTTAAAGTAATACATACAGCATAAGCATCAGTTTAGGCCGTAAACTAGCAGTGTGGAGTCCAAACAGACTTCTAGCCATTTAACTCGATTGAAGTGAATGCATTTTGAAGGGTGTAATTCTGCTTAGGGGTGCACTGTTGGAACCAAACTGTGTTACCTTTTTTCATGTGTTTTTATGTGTACCACACACAAGCTGTGGGGAACAACTTCTTAAAAGGGGGGGGGAGAACCCAAACAGGCTTGAAATTGTGCCATGGGAGGCGGGGAGAGGAAGGGCTCCTGCCTCCCCCCCCCCCAGCAATTTTCTCATGCGAAAACCAGCATAGTGTAGTAGATAACGTTGGATCTGGGAGAGCCCCAGCCTTGCCATAAAATCTTGTTTGTTACCACAGGTGGTCCCTTTCAAATGCATTCTTAGACACCTGTGGACTCTAACTTGGGTTCGGGACACTCCCCCATAACTGCAATCAATTTTGGGGGTTTGAGTTCAGCATCAGGGGAAATCTCTTCTCATGTCCGCAGCCTAGCTAGCTTGGAAAATGACACACTTGCCAATTAGGGGGAGCAGAACCTGTGATTTCGGGATGTATGTGTTTTGTATGTATTGTTAATATTTTATCTGCTCGTAAGCCGGCCTAGGCCGGGAGGGCGGGATAAAATTGTGAATAAATAAATAAATTTACCTGGACAGTGGGCATGCCAGGATTGTTGTTGGGAGGACAAAATAGAGAAGGATGTCCTAAGCTCCTTTAGGTCCCCATCAGGGAGAAAAGCTGGGTGTAAATATATAAACAAATTAATATTGAGGAGGCCGAGTGATGGGGAATTACCTGAGGCCGGTCAGAGACTCTCTGGCATAGATGGAATCAGAACCTGTAGTGGATTCTTGGGCTGACGGAAATAGATGCCCTCTCGAGAAAGATGGCTGCCTTGCTAATCCATTTCTCCCATTTCTCCGTGCAGGCGAGCGCCCATACAAATGCCCTCACTGTGACTACGCCGGCACTCAGTCCGGCTCTCTCAAATATCACTTGCAGCGCCATCACAGGGAGCAAAAGAGCGCTGCTGCAGCTGCAGCTGCCGCCGCTGCCGCTACCACAGGAACACTGGAACGGTGCCACATACCCCTCGCTCCCACTGCAGCCTCTGCCTTTCCCCAAACGCAGCTCGCCAAGAGCCACGGGCCCTTCCTACCCCTGGGGGGCTTGGGTGCTGCTCGGTCTCGTCAGTCTCGGCGCAAACCGCTGCTCAACGGGAAGGCCGACTTCCAGCCCTTGGACCTGTCGCTGCGCCCAGCCCTGGCCGGAGGGGCCCTCCACCGCTGCCAATTCTGCCCCTTCGCCACCTCAGCTCCTGAGCTCATGGAATTACACCTTCAGGTGCACCACAGTCGAAAAGCCCGAACCCGCCGTTGCTCTCACACTGCCCCTAGACCCCGTGTGGTGGTGCAGCAGGAGGAGGAGGAGCCAGAGATCTCTGAGCCCCAGAGCCCCCAGCGGAAAGAAACCAAGGCCCTGCGTCCAAAGGGGGAGACGACCAAACTCCAGAAGCTCTGGCATTTGGAAGACCAGGAGGCACCACCCAGGCCTCAGCGGCCTCGAAGGAAGCAGTCCTCCGTTGGAGCAGTGGTTGTCACCAGTCTCTCTCCTGGAGCTAAGCAGGATTGGGACGACCTGTCTCAAGACTCTGAGGAGCCACTCCCCGAGGAGGAATTGCCTGGCCCCCTGGTCCCAAAGGGGGCGCCACACCAGGAGGCATCTAAAGCAGGCCAAGGCCTAATGGAGCTGCAGTTGGAGCCAGTGCAGGCTTGAGGATATCTACTCTGCATATTTAAACCAGTTTCAAACCTGTTTAACTGTCATGCCAACTCCTGACCCAGAGGACTCTTGAAACTGTAGTTCTCCTCTCAACAGTCATACAGAACTACAGTTCCCAGACTTCCGGAGGGTGGCGTTGAAGAGGGGCCTCGTAGCTTAGAGCTTTGCATGCAGAAGGCCCCAGGCTCAAGCAGTCCTTGGTCTCTCCAGTTAAAAGAGGCTTGCAGTTTTGGAGAGACGCCTGCCTGTAAAAGCGGACCCTACTGACCTAGATAGACCAGTGGTCTGATTCCATATAAGGCAACTTCCTACATTCATTAGACAGTTAAACCAGTTTCAAACCTGTTTACATTTGTAGTATAGATGTGCCAAGGCCACGAGAGGCAGATAGACGCCGCCCCACGAGTGACGGGGTTTACATACCCATCTGTGAGAGGTCCTGGGGCTGGAGGTAGTGAGGTTGTCAAAACTATTCCGGACGTGTGTCCTCTTTGCCTTTTAACAGCAACAAGACCGGTGGGAATTCAAGAGGCGCAAGTCCTCTCTTGTCACTGAAGCTGTTAAAAGCATAGGAGCCCTGAGAGGAGAAAGTAATAATGGGAAAAAGTGAAGGTAGAGGCTGTGATACGGCTGGGGTGCCGAGCTGGGCGAAAGGCAATGATACTGTAGCAGTCCTTTGTGAATCAAACAGGGTTTTGAGGTAAGGCGGCCGGAGTACGCGAGATTCCTGCCCCTTGCTCGCTCCTCAGTTCTGGGCTCGATGCTGCTGCTTTTGGGCGCCACTGCCTAGGGAGTCGGGCCCTTTCGCAATCTAAATCCTTGGCGCAAGGGCAGGCTTGAGAGGCCTCCTGGGGGACAGGACTCCTATAAGCTGTCCCGTTTTGTAAAAGGGGAGGACTACTGCAGGTGCCGCTTTCCCTCCCATGGCGCCGCTATGGTGGGAAAAGCTGTACCTGCCCCATTCCTCCTCTCTCCGTTGCTGTTAAGGGTAGAGGAGACCTATCCCTAGGAACGCGGTTGATCCTGAAGTGCCACAGGTGTAAAGTGGGCCGTAGGCTGCACCAGCCACCCTTGGCCTGAGGGGACTTTATCCCCTTGAGCGCCTACGTGTGAGGCGGCCCATCTACAGAGCAAATTTGGGGGGGGCAGTCTCGTGTGCTTAGCAAGCGACCCAGTTGCCAGTATCTTGTCTCTGTAGTGCCCCAGCAGCAGAGCTTTGTTTCTGTAGTAATCCGGCACAGCAGGGAACTTGACAACTTCTAGAGTTTTCTATTTTTTTATTGTTTTTTCTTGTAGAAAATTTGAAACTGGAAATAAAAATTAAAACGAGAAAGGACTGTTGCTCTGTTCAGTGTCCATGTGGATGTGCGCACCAAGCACACCTCCCCCGCCCCTTCAGGAGATTGTGTCCTCCAATAGGTTTGAAGATGCTCTTTCAAACTTCTCGTTGATCAGTGACCCGCCCCCAACAGGCAAAGAGGTGCCTGAGAATCACAAATGGCTAAGCGGATTAAGCACAAAATATATCTGAACCACAATTTCTCCATTATTTTAACTACACACACCCATCCGCTTGGGATGTTCATTTTAACCAAAGATTCCCCACACTTGCTGACCACACAATGCCCGTCTCTGGACCAGTTTGGTGTAGTGGTTAAGAGCGTGGACTCTAATCTGGGAGAACCGGGTTTGATTCCCCACTCCTCCACATGCAGCTGCTGACCTTGGGTCAGTCACAGTTCTCTCAGAGCTGTTCTATCAAGAGCAGTTCTCAGAAGAGCTCTCTCAGCCCCACCTACCTCACAGGGTGTCTGTTGTGGGGAGGGGAGGGGAAAGGAGATTGTAAGCCACTCCAAGACTCCAAGTGAAGGGCAGGGTATAAATCCAGTCTCTGCTGCTGCTGCTGCTGCTCAGTTGCCTCTATCAAATCTGCAGAGACTGCTGTGTGAGCTTTTATTGAGTTTGAAATGTGTCTTTAATAGATACATGCAATGCATACTAAAGAGGGCCTTGACAGCTGTTGTTTTGATAGTGCAAAGAAAATTAAATATTTAAAAGACCTATTTAGTCAAAGTGAACAAACTATATGTATGTTGTAGACCAGTGGTTCTCAAAACATTTTGAAGCAGAACCTACTTCTAAATGTACTGTACCACTTGCAAGTAACTCCATGCTACTCCCCCCCCCCAATATAAAATGCAGGACTCACATACCTGTTAAAACCAACACCAAATGTATATTTTAAGGGAACCTTTACCTTTTGACTTATTTATAAATATACAGCATTCTGAGCAGCAGACTGTATTTCATGGCTGTTTTGAGAACAATTCTTGTAGGCCAATTAGCTGTAAATCTGGCCTTGCCCTCAAATTTCCCCAGTCTCAGCACATTCTTGGAACAGGGTGGGGAGAGCATCTAACCCTAGAAGCCAGCTGGTGGATAAGAGCAAAACTGGAAGCTTAGTGGAGTTCAATTGGGTAACAAAACCCAGCACTTGACAAACCAGAGAAGGAACGGCCAGTTTCACGTTTCTTATGCCCAGATTCTGAGCTAGAACAGAAATGCAAAATATTTTTTCCAGTACAAACTATCATGCAGTCATGGGCGCCATTCACAAACCTATACTGAATGAAGAAACATGTACCCCTCCCTTTAACTGAAAGGCACAGTAACAAAAAATAGCAGCATATGTTTCTGAATGTTTAAGTCACTTCATACACTCTCCTATTCATCTTTGCAATGACCATTAAGGTAGGCCCCAAAGCCTTTCCTTGTAATCCCAAATGCAGAAATATGGACTGTCTGGTGATGGTTGGGGGTGCACTCTGCACAGGGTCAGAGGCAATGCTGCCTCTAAGCTGTGGAGTCTTGTGAGCAAAAATTCTACTTGGTGAGCTACTGGCATTAAAGTTGTGAGTGAGCGATTTGGCTACTGCATAAATGAGTTTGCTCTGGAGCCCTCCTTCCTGAGCCAGGACAAAAATGTGTGAGCCTGCGGCTAAAGAACTGTGAACTAGCTCACACTAACTCAGCTTACAGGGAACACAGGTCTGAGGTATTGTCTTTGTTTTATACGTGTGAAGAATATGCTCTGACATTTAAAAGAAGTCCCAGGGCTGAGGCCTGGTAAGAAATAAGCTGTCCTGGGGACCACCCCTAGGCCTAGCTAGAAACAGTTCCCTGAGGGAATCAATTATCTTTGTGTTCCCACGAGTTGTTAGTCCTTGAATTCCCCTTCTGCTGGCACAGTAAATGTGAGGCCGTGGTTGGGGTTCACCCAGCTTGCTTTCTCAATCTTATGACAGTTCTATTCCCTTACTACACCCCCCTTCCCATCTGGCTTTTTGTCCACGCAGGCCCCATTTAGGGTTACCAACCTGCAGGTGGGGGCTGACAGTCTCCCAGAATTACAACTGAGGACCAGATTACAAAAATCAGTTCCCCCGGAGAAAATGGCAGCTTTGCAGAGTGGACTCTGGCATCACATTCCCGGTTGAACTTCTATCCCAGGCTCGGCTCCCCACATCTCCAAAGCATAAAAGGGACCCTTCCTCCCTTTTCTTTCTCAGGCAGAAAAGTTGGTTGAAGCCCACCCTATAAGAATTTTTAATTCCTCTAAGGCCCTGCCCAATTGTGTGGGGGGAATTGGGTTGGCTCTCTTTCTTGACATCTTTAAAGCATTAGAAAGGTGTCAGGGTTCTCCCCTCTCTGGTCCGGCTAACACAATCAAATATTGTTAAATCTTGGGATTGTGATCCTGAGAGCCCCCCCCCCCGCCGCCACCACCTCATAATAGTTGCAGTGTTTGTTTTGAGAAGGGCAGGGTGTGTCACTCGTCTCTCAGTCTTGAGTCATTCAAAGGACGTTATGGGTTTCTTTTACAAAGGAGTGATCCTGACACACCCTTGACTGCACAAGCACAATGTTATGGATAAATACAAGGCAGGATCCAGCCATGGGGTGTGGGCAGAGCTGGTCAAAGTTTCCAGAATCACTCTGGCACCTCTTCTGAGGTTCCTGATCAAGAGAATCACAAATGATAACACTAGCTGTTGTAGATTTTCTGGGTTGTACGGCCATGGTCTTGGCATTGTAGGACCTGACTTAGCATAGATCCAGATGGGTAGCCGTGTTATTTATCCATTTATTTAGGCTTCTGTGCCGCCCTCCCCGCAAGCAGGCTCAGGGTGGTACACAACAAATTAATAAATACAAAAGAGCAAGAGTCCGGTAGCTCACGAAAGCTCCTACCCTGCCACATATTTTGTTAGTCTTTAAGGTGCTACTGGACTCTTAGAATCATAGAGTTGGAAGGGATCTCCAGGGTCTTCTAGTCCAACCGCCTGCACAGTGCAGGAAATTCACAAATACCTCCCCCCCCACCTACCGTAACCGCTGTTCCACACCTAGAAGATGACAAAAAACCTCCAGGATCTCCAGCCAAACTGGCCTGGAGAACAATTGCTTCCTGGCCCTAAAGTGGCGATCAGCATTTCCCTGGGTGTGTAAGAAAGGGCCGCAACAACTAAGCACAGATGCAACCCTTCCTGCCCTCCCTCTCATGATCTGCCTACATTCACAGAATTAGCATTGCTGACAAATAGCCATCTATCCTCTGTTTGACAAGCTCCAGAGAAGCCCACCACCTCGCAAGGAAGCCTGTTCCCCCGAAAAACCGCTCTGTCAGGAAGTTCTTGGGATTGTTTTTTTTTCCTACTACTATTTAGTATGTATATAGCATCCAAATTTCCTCATACACATTTTCACAATAATTCCTAAGAATAATTTCGTAAAGTAGGCGGATAACCTCCACACTGTGAAGTGACGTTTCTTTCCAGTTGTGTAGGCAATGTGGTATATACAGCTTTCTACAACTCTATCTGACATCAGAGATGACCGGCTGAGAGGACAGCAGTTTACCTCGATAATTTAAGAACTATAATCTTGGCAGCTTGTTGTAGAGATAAAATTTGAACAAGGGACTTCTGTAAATCTGCAACCCAACCCCAGATTTTACTTAAGGAACTATGAATTCCACTGATCCAAGAGAAGAAACTTTGTTTTTCTCTCATTTCTTTGTAAACTAATTTTGCCTTGAGTCCACTGCAGTTCAAAGAAAGTCCATGTGTGGTATAAAATGCCTCCTTCCGTGAATCCAGTGGACTACAGAATGGATTAAGAAGGGAGCCTCTGTCATTTTTGGAGGGAACAGAGAGATATTGATGAACAGGAATGTCAGCCTTCACTGGCCCTCGCAGCTGACAGGAAGTGCTGACTCAGCCAACTGTTAGCTGCACAAAACAAAGGAAGATATATTTTATTGAGAACTGATGTTCAAAACACGGAATGTTTCAAACTGTGCACCACAATGTAGTGTAGCGGCTAGTGGACTATGATCTGGGAGGCCCAAATCCTTCATTTGCATGACCCTGGACCGCTTCACAGGATTGTTGTGAGGGCAGAATGGAGATGAGAAGATGTACACTGCCATGAGCACCTTGGAGGGAGTGCTAGATAAATAACACACTAAATAATAAATACAATATGTTGGACAGGGGAGCAAATATGATATAATGGCTGAGAAAGTGTGACATGGAATATTTTTAGTTTACCTCAGCCTTGAACTCCAGTCTTAGAGAAGCTGCTACTGCTCAGCATTAGTTTCAGCACACAGGGATAATACTGGCTCACTTTATAGGATTGTGGTGATGATGCCGTATGCAAAACATCTTGAAAATGTATTTAGTTATTTTAGATATTCAGACCCTGCTTTTTTCTCTAATGGGGACCCAAAGTGGCTTTCAATATCACTCTTCCCTCCATTTTATTCTCACAACAACAGCTCTCCAAGGGAAGTTAGGCCAAGGTCAGCTTGCTTCCATGGCATACTTAAAAGTAAGGACTATGGAAGTACTAAGCAACGAGCACCCTAAGAAATAAAAAGTTGTGTGGTTGGTGCACACCTGACTAGTGCCGAAACTACAGTTCAGTGTGATAAATGAATTAAAAATAAATAATTAAGTGAACACATAAATGACACAGAAAGGAAGTTTGATGTTAAAGCACCGCTCAGTTATTGCAAGTTCTGGAAGATGCAGAAGTAATTTTTGCTAATTACCCTGGGATCCTGAAAAGGGAGACAGCACAGTTCAAGAGCAAACAGTTATACTTCTT